CCTGGCACCAGCCCCGGCCTGTACCGCAACATCCGCATGTACCCCGTCACCCACGAGGAGCCCGGCATGCTGCTGCTGCGCATCGACGCCCCCATCTACTTTGCAAACGTGCAGCCGGTGAGGGACGGCATACGCGAGCGCGTGCGCGCGGCGCGGCAGCAGCAGGACCTCAAGTGGGTGCTGCTCAACCTGTCGCCCGTCACGGGTGAGGGGGGGTGGCGGGGCGGAGAGGGGGGGGGACGCGCGATGGTGGGCATCCCCTGGCTGCGCCCGGCCGGCCTGGGCTGCCGCCCGCGCCCGCGCGCTGCTCCTGCTGGTGGGCAGTGTGGGGCCTGTGTGGCATCAGCACTTCATAACCACGCATCCCCCCCCCACACACACACACACGCGTGCAGACATCGACGTGGCGGCCGTGTACTGGCTGGAGGGGCTGCTGGAGGAGCTGAGGGGGGCGGGCATACAGCTGGCGCTGGCCAACCCGCACCAGCAGGCGCGCCCGCCCGGCTCCCCTCTGCAGTTGGCTGCAAGCCCCTGTGCTGCCTGGCCCCGATGACGGCCAGGCCCCGCCTCACCCCCCCGCCTCTCTCCCTCCCTCCCTGCCTGTGCGCCTGTGTGCGCAGGTGGTCACGCTGCTGCGCCGGTCGGGGCTGCTGGACAGGGTGGGCCCCTCCAACATTCACGACAACATGCACGACCTGGTGGCGCGAGCGCGGCGCGCCATGCAGGCGGGGGCGGCGGCGCTGGAGGAGGGCGGCCCGCCGCCGGCGCCGCCGGGCTGACCGGCACCTGGCCCCACGCCGCCGCGAGCCTCGCCCAGGCTGCCGACCCATCAACACTGCCCGCTCCTGTTTCTCTGTCTCTGTTGCAAGAACTGACATTGGAATGCGCTTTGAGGAGCTGTCGACCCTAGAGCAATGCACGCGCTGCGAAGAAGAAGCAAGCGAGGAGGAATGAACCTGGCATGAGGAGGGGTGGGGCTGGGGATGATGGGACGAGGCTCTGCAGGCCCAGCCGACGTGGCGCACCACGCTCACTGCCCCCTCTCGCCCGGCTCGCTGCCCGCGCCGGCGGCACCGCCGCCTGGCGTGCCGCCGCGGCGCGGCCCCTGCGGCGCCAGCCAGGGCGAGGGCCCGTGCTGGCTGGCGTCTCGTGAGCTGTCGCCCCCCCGCTCGGTGTCAGATTCAGACACCTCGCTGCCGCTGTATCCGCCCACCGTCACCCCCTCCTCCTCCTCCCCCTCATCCTCGTCCCCCGCGCCGCCGCCCAGCCCGCCGCCGCGGCTCAGGTTGCGCGGCACCGAGAAGGTGAAGCTGGCGCCGCCGAATGTGCCGGAGGGCACGGAGGCGAGGGAGTGGGGGCTGAGGGCCGCGGGCAGGATGGTGACAGACCTGCGGGGAGAGGAGGGGGAGGGGAGCAGGGTGAGGAGGAGGGTGTGGGGTGGCGCCCTGCCAGCAGGGGTCACCGGGTGAGGCGGCTGGCTGCGCCCCGCATGCCCCGCCCGGCATGCCGCACCCCACCGGCGCACACACACACACACGCCCCCGCCTGCGCTCACCTGGCCATTGTGTAGCGAGACCTGCCGCCGCCGACGCCCCCCGGCTGCCTGCCCGCCGCGATGGGCCGGCTGGCGGCGGCCGCCTCTGCGGCAAAGCGAACCGAGGCGCCACCGAGGCCGTCGCCGCCGCCGACCTTGTGCTGCGCCGCCGCCGCGTCCCCAAACTCCTCCTCACCCACCAGCAGCGGCTGGTCAAGGCCCGCCTCGCCGCCCTGCGCCGCGCGGCTGCGGTGGCGGTGGCGCCGCGGCTCCGCCGCCGGCAGGCAGCTGCGCAGGATCTCGTTGTACCTGCACAAACCACGGGAGGAAAGTGGGGTCAGGTGGTGGCAGCGTGGTATGTGGCAGCGTGGGGGGTGGCATTCAGGTGGCGGCTGCACCGGCCTGCCAGGCAAGGGCCCTGCTGAAGCTGCTGCGCGGGTTGCGGGCGGGGTGTTGCGGGGGCACTCACACAGACGTGCCGCTGAGCAGCACCAGGAAGCCAACCACCTACGGTGCGGGAGGAGGGGGGGGCAGGGGCAGCGTGGGGACGGTGTGGGCGGGATGCCAGTGGGGCCAGCGCGGGGGCAGGGCAGCAGGGCACACGCCCAGGTGGCCGCCGGGCGCCCGCCCGCCTGCCCACGCTCCCCCTTCCCGGCACCTCTCCCCGCACCGGGACCCTGCCCCACCCCTGGCGCCTTGCCTGCAGCATGTGGAAGTGCTCCCAGCCCATGCGCAGCGCAAACAGCCAGATGAAGAGGGTGCGGCAGGCGTCGATGGTGGCGCGCGCCGCGCCGCTCAGGCTCTTGGTCACGCTCACTCCGAAGAAGTTGAAAAAGGCGATGGAGACGACGGTGGCGGCGGTGGTCCACTGCAGCGTGGCGTCGCGACGCACCTCCTGCAGGCGCGCGGGAGAAGCGGCGGGGGGTGCGGCAGGCACGGGGGAGGGGTGGAGCACAGCGCCAGCCTGCCCGGCCTGCCTCCAAGGAGCCCCCGCTGCCTGACAGCCCAGACCTCAAAGCCCTCAGCGGCCCGGCCCCTCAGCCACCCTCGGCGGCCCGCGCTCACCGCCCAGGCGTCAGCCACGCTGTCCAGCGGGCGCCCCCCCGGCCCCGGGATGAGCTGCAGCGCGGGCAGCGCCAGGGTGCAGAGGGCCACGCCCCAGAAGCCCTCCATGCCCACCGCCAGCAGTACGGGGGCGCGGTACTTCACCAAGTACTTCTCCTCAACGATGAACTGGGTGGCAGCCAGCAGCTGCGGGGTGTGGTGAGTGGGGGTGGGGGTGAGGGAGGGATGCGGGAGAGGCTGTTGGGCGAGAAGCTGCTAAGCGAGTGGAGGGGTGGGCGGCGCAGGCGGGGGATGACGGCAGCAGAGCGCAGGCGAGCGCGTGACCGGCGCCGCAGGGGCGGCTGCTGCCAATTTGTGCAGATCCCACGCAGCGCTGCATGCCTCGGCCCAGGCCCCGCCCACCCACCCACCTGCGCCACCACCACCAGCACGTTTCCCAGCATCGGGTTGGGCGCGGTGCCGCCCCCAGCAGCGCCGCCAGGCGCCCACAGCCCCTCCACCACCAGCAGGCGGCGCAGGCCGCCTTGGGCGCCGCCGCCGCCGCCGCCGCCGCTCCGGCCCAGCGCCGCCGCGGCCGCCACCGCTGCCGCGTCCCGGCCGCCTGCTGCCGTCGCCGCCGCCTGGCCTGGCTGTGGGTGCGGCGCCAGCGTGTGTCGCGGGTCGGCGGCTCTGTCGTAGATGACCGAGGAGGCGCCCACCAGCGCCGCCCCCGCGCCGATCAGCACGATGCCCAGCCAGTGGTGGGAGTGGAGGCGGCGGTGCAGCAGCAGGATGGTGAGCATGCCGGCGAAGATGACCAGCGTGCCGCGCAGCATCTGGAACACCGAGGCGTACGTGTAGAAGAGGCCCAGGTTGAGCAGGGTGGTGGCCGCCGCGTCGCACATCGCGGGCAGGCTGAACACGGCAAAGGAGCGGCGCAGGCGGTGGTCGCGCGCCGCCGCCTCCTCCGCGCTCAGCGGCGTGGCGCGCGTGGCTGCCTTGTACCAGCGCCGCAGCGCAAAGGGAACCAGGCACAGCGCCTCGCCCAGGAACATGGCGGCGGTCTGGAAGGCGGGGTGCTTGAAGTGCACGGCGCGTCCCGCCTCGTCGTGACCCACTACAACGTTGTCCTGGATCTTGGTGGCTATGGTGTTGAGGGAGCCTGCGGGGACAGGGAGGCCGGGGAAGGAGGAGGGGGTGGGCCAGGCGTGGCAGCGGCGGCGGCGGCGAGCGGCCATGATGGACCCGCGGCGCATCGATTGCCGCTGGCCTAGCAACGGTGCGCCGCACCGCACCAGCGTGTTCAGCGCTTCCCCGGCCTACACGCTGACTGCCCCGGACACACCCTCTCGGGAGATGCATCGGCAGCCAGCCACTTGCCTGTTATCAGCATGCAGATGGCCAGCACGGCCACGCGCCACTTCATTTTCTCTTGAGCGCCTCAGCAGAGTTCCGCTGCATGGGCGTGATGGCCAAGCAAAAACAGTCTGTAGCTGGTTTTGGGGGCAACACACGACGTAGACTACGCCAATCAGGCACCGTGATGCCTGGCGCGCTCCGCGGCCGATCATCTTTCCATGGCTTGCACTGCACTTTCATGGGCCGCCAGATCACCGGTCACCGCCGCAATGTGCCAGCTCCAATGTGCACTTGCATCCCCTGTCACCCTTTACATCATTGGTTGCTTTAATGGAGACTCTATACAGTTGGAACAGCACAGGCATCCAGGACTGCATGTGCTGTGTGCACCCAGCTAGTAAAGGGTGCGGCATGCAAAATGTGGCGGAATGCGCAAGGTGAGAATGCAGGACAGGAGCAATCGGGCGGTGCATGGCATGCGGAAGAGGCCCCCGCCCTTCGGGCCAGCGCCACACAGGTGTGCACAAGACGGTGTGGGGTGACTGTGAGCTGGTGCCTGCCTCACAGCAGGTCCACGTAGTCGATGACCAGCTGTGCCGTCATGGGGGAGGGCCCAGAGGGCTGGAGCCACAGCTGCACCTGCACAGGCAGCCCAGCCTCGCTCGCGGCGCCGACTGCAGCGGCAGGCTCGCCAGGGGAGAAGGGAGCAGGGTCGGCATGCAGGTTTGGCATGCAGGTTGAAAGCAGCATGCCAGGGGTGTTAAAAGCAACATGCCGCTCGCGCGGGCAGCCGCGGCTCACTGTCCCACTCCACCAGCTCCGGCCTCGACACCTCGGCGCTCACTTGCAGGTTGTCCGCCACCTCCGGCCCTTCCACGCCCGGGTCGGACCACCACAGGCACAGGTCGGCGCCGCGCCGCACCCCGCGGCCGCCCGCCGGCCGGCACCGGGCGCCGCATGGGTGGTGGCTCACCAGGTGGGCACCCCCAAGGGCGGGGCCGGGGCTGGGCTGGCTGGGCCGGGGGTGCAGGCAGGATTTTGAGGGGCAACAAGGGCGGCTGGGCCGTGAGGGCAGCCCAGGTAGAGAAGTTTGAACTTGGACAGGGTGCAAAGGCGGGCCGCCGCCAGCGCGGCGCCCCCCCCTGGGCCCCCTTCCTGGCCTGGCCACGCGGCTGCAGGGCAGGCTGGAGCCGCTGTTCTGCAGCACTGGACGAGCCGGCCACCGCCAGCTGCTGAGTTTGCGGCAGCTCCGAATCCCCCTCCTCATCCTGCGGCTGCTGCTGCGCCTCTGTCTCCTCCTCCACCTGCCGCTGCTGCTGCTGCTGCACCTCGGTTTCCTCCTCCTCATCCTTCTGCTGCTGCTGCTGCTGCTGCTGCCGCTGCTGCTGCTGCCGCTGCTGCTGCTGCTGCTGCTGCTGCCGCCGCTGCTGCTGCTGCTGCTGCTGCCGCTGCTCCACCGCCTGCTCCCGCCCCTCCTCCTTCTCGTCCTCCAGCCGCACCCGCCTGGCGGCCTGCGCAGCCTGCCGGGCCAGCGCTGCCCTCTTGACGCTGCCGGCGCCTCGGCACGGCATCCGCTTGACCGCCGCCGCCGCCGCGGTCGGCTCCTTGTCGCCGGGCGCGGCGGGGTGCACCACCACGTTGTGCACAAAGCCCGGCGGTGGGGCCGCAGCGCGGGCAGGCTGCACGCGGGTGGGGTGCTCCCTGGGCAGCCCGCGCCCCTCCTCCTCCTCCTCGCTGCTGCTGCTGCTGCTGCTGCTGCTGCTTTCGCTGCTGCTGCTGCTTTGAAGGCGATTGGCGCCCGGTGGGGTGGCAGCAGTGCGGGCAGGCGGCATGCTGGTGGACTGCTTCCGTGCGCCAGCGGGGCGACCTGCACCCTGCCCCTCCTCCGCCTCCTCCTCCTCGCTGCTGCTGCTGCCAAAGTCTATTGCGGGCGCCCCCACCGCCTCCACACCAGAGGGCGCCAAGCGCGCGCTGCCGCTCCTCCCAGCCGTGTCGGTGGCAGGCAGGCTGGCGGCACGGTCTTGGGTGGCAGGCAGGCTGCTGCGCCCAGGCGGCGCCTGCCGCTCGTCCGGCTCCATGCGCCGCAGCACAAGCTTGGCCAGCGCACGCAGGCGGCTGGGCTGACCTGCCGCCTGCTTGCCCACCAGCGGCGCGCCGCTCGGTCTTGTGTCCGTCTGGCTGGGCGTGGAGGCGGCGGCGGCAGGCGCAGGGGCGGCAGCTTCTGCCTCGGTGGCAGCAGGGGCGGGTGCGGCAGCCGCAGGAGGGACGGCGGGGGCAGGAGGGGCAGCCCTGCAGCAAGCCCGGCAGGTGGAAGGCGCATCAGTTGGCTGTGCCACACGCCTCCTCCACCAAGGCAGCCCCTGCTCCCGGAACTTTCAGCCTTCAGGGTGCAGGAAGCATCGCTGGCCCGGGCAGTGCCAAGACAGGGGTCACCCGTGTGGCTGCTCCTGCTCCTCCTGCTGCCCGTTTGCCTGGTTGCTGTCCAACCACTTGCACAGCGGCGCATCTGCGGGAGGAAGACGAACGGGCAGGGTGAACGCAAGGTCTGCGCCCGTCCGCCAGCAGCCTCCCCTTACCCGGGTTGACGGTGCGGATGCTCAGCTTTGCGTTCCGATTTTTGCCACGGCCGCCATGCCGCTCGAACTGCGCCATCGTCATGGCCTTGCCATTGCACTCTGGGCAATTGCAGGAGATCAAGCGGGTGGAGAGGGTGAAGGTGCCCGCCTTGCGGCTTGTGCCGTACCCGCAGTACACCTGCACCTGCAGGCGAGCGCAATGCAATTGAGGGGCAGCGCGGCGATGGCGACGGCGCAGCAGCTCCACGGCGCAGCAGCTCCGGCGACGGCGCAGCAGCTCAGCTGCAGCAGCTCACAGCGCATCAGCGCAGCGCTGCGCCCGGGTTGCCAGCCTCTCTCACCTCAACCATGATCAACTGCCCGCCTGTGCGCAGAAGAGGGCTGGGCTCGTCCAGGACTGCTTGTGGGCCACGCACCACGCACGCACACAGCGCCTGCCCCGAGGTCGAGACGATGTTGGAGCAGCTGCAGAGAGAAGATGCAGGAGCAGCTGCTGGACCTAGGGTTAGGAAGAGCCCACTTTCTTTTTGTCGCCCACTTTCTGTTATAGCATGGCACACTCTCTGCTATAGCAAGCCAAATCAACGACAGAGAACAGCTCCGTCTAAGGGGAAGCAAGCCACCACAGGATCATGCAATTCATTCAATGATGATGGAGCAGCACAGCTAAGCGCGATGACAGAAGGTTTGTGGTACAAGAGAGCGCAGACATGGCGGGCCCAGAACGGATATCTTGCGACTTGATCAGTGGCCCAGCCCACGCCTCCGGCTGCCCTGATGCGCACGCACCCACACCGCGCTGTCGCCGTACAGCGATTCCAGGCTGGTGTCGGCGCCGCGGTGGGCGGCCGAATAGGCTGCCAGATTAGCGTACTGGCCGGCGCTGGTGGGGGCGCCGAGCGGCGGCGGAGCGCAGCCGTCCTGCCAGTCGGCGCGGCACAGCGGGCAGGTGACGGGCTCGGCCCTGCCGCGCTTGCTGGCCGCCCAGTGCGTCATGCAGGCGCGGTGCACGTTGTTGCCGCAGGCGCAGCAGAAGGACACGGCCTCGCCCGGGGCTGCCAGCGCCTCAAAGCTGCGGCTCGGGGCAGGGGTTGTGGAGCAGGGGGGAGGTGAGACAGGCAGGCCATGCTTGCAGGCGGCGTGGCTGGCAGCCCCAGCACAGAGGGTGGTTCCCAAGGCCTCCGCCCCGCCCCGCCTCGCTCACCAGATGGGGCAGTCGCCCTCCACCTCGCGCTGCAGAGGCCCCGCCGGGCCGCCCGCTGCATCGCCAGCGCTTGCGCCACTGAGCCGTCGGTACTGCTCTAGCACCACGCTGGAGGCAAGCACCTGGCCGCCGCCCACGGCGCGCGCCACGCTCCGGTTGCCCGCCAGCACCTGCGAGGTGCAGCCACACCATCAGCCAGTCATCCTTCCCACCCATTGCGTCACGGCGGATGCAGCGGCAGGCTGCGCAAGGCGGGCCAGTGCAGGGTGGGGTGGGGCGGGGCGGGGCACAGGGCACCGGACGCCCCACGCGCCACCGCACCACACGCCGTGCGCGCCGCCGCACCTCGTCGGCCTCATGCGCCAGCAGGGCTCGCTGCCACACCAGAGGCTCGTCCCGCAGCAGGCCCAGCACGCGCAGGTGCACAAACAGGATGTGCTTGCAGTGGTGGCCCCTGGCATGGTCGGGGCAGGTGCAGTGCGGGAAGCGGCCGATGGTCACATTGTACACTGCAGGGGCAGGCAGGCAGGCAGGCAGGGCGGCGGCTGCGGATGGGCGGCGTCCTAGCGTTGCTCGAAGTTTGCTCGACCGTCGCACGACGCCTGCCCGGCTGCGCTCCCGTGGCGCGGCAGGCAGCAGCCACCGATGCAGCCACCCACCCACCCACCCACCCACCCACCGTTGCCCGTGGCGCCCAGCACCGCAAAGCTCTCCTCGCCGCCGCCCTCGGCCCCCGGCGGGCGCACCACGGCGCGGTCGATGAGGAACAGGCGGTGGCCGCCGGCGCCGGGCAGGGCGCGCTGCACAGGGACGGCGAGGGGCGCAGGGCGGGGCATGAGTGGGCGCGGCGCAGGAGAGCCAGGTATGGGTGGGCGTGGGGGCCCCTCTTCAAGCCAAGCGGGCGGGGTGTTGCACCTGGATGCGCTGCTGCACATCCTGCGACGGCTTGGGGCGATAGTTCACCACCGCGCCGTGCCGGTCCACCCGCTTCTGCTGCTGCTGCCGCTTGCCCTGGGCCTGCCCGCCTTCTCCTGCTCCGCTGCCGCTGGCGGCATCCGCACCACGCTTACGGCTGCGCCGCTTGGGAGACGCGCCTGCTGCCACGGCTGCAGCCGAGGCGGGGCCGGCAAGGCTGTCAGCGGGCGCGCTGGGGCCTGCGCCGCCGCCTGCGCCGCCGCCTGCGTCGCCGCCTGCCGGCGCAGGCATGGCGGCCACCCGGGCGCCCCTTCTGGGAACCCGGGCTCTCGCACCCCCCTCTCTCGTGAGGTCTGTCATCTCGGGGGACCCTGCACGAATGTGCAGGGCGCCAAATGGCGCCAAGTAATGGCAAAGGCCTTGAGCAGGCTCTCTGGCCGACACCCCAGGGCGCTGTCGTGTGGCGTGTCAGGCTCCTTTAGGGGATGCTGCTAACCAGGCGAGGTCTCAGGAAGAAGCATATGGCATGCTGCGCCCTGCTGCGCCTCAAAACTGCATCACGGGAGTTCACTGGAGCTCCAGCTCCAGCTACCACACACTCGCAGCAAGCTGCATCATCACCTGGTGCGTGCGTGCACGGGAGGAGAACGCCTCGATCACAAGGTCACAAGTAACAGTACTCCACCTGGGCCTCTCCAGCACTCTCCTGGTGCTCAGCAGCGACAGCAGTACGCGGCGGCAATGGCAGCACGCGGGCAGAGCGGCCAAGGCAGCGCCACAGAGCGCCTGCAGGAATTGAAACTCGCCTTTCCCTGCCGGGAGCAGGCCATCGACCTGCTGGCTGCCGAGTTGATGCGCAGGGACCGCCCGGGCGCCGCGGGCACCTGCCGCCTGGTCTACGGCCAGCACGCCACCGGCAAGACGGCGGTGGTCAGGTGGGAGCAGCTGGGAGGGGTGCCGTCTCAGCCGCAAGCCCTGCACCTCCCCTCTTTATCATCCCGCACTCTGCCGCCTACCCCTGGCCCCCGCAGAGGCCTGCTGAGCGCGCTGCGCCTGCGCCACGCCTACGTCAACTGCCACGAGAGCAGCCGCGTGCGCCCGCTGCTCTCCTCCCTGCTGCACCAGCTCAAGGGCGGCAAGCGGCAGCGAGACGATGCCTACGAGTGCGGCGCCAAGTGCGACAGCCTGGCCGACTTCCGCCTGCAGCTGCCGGGTGCGCGCAGGGGAAGCCACGTGGCAGGCGGCACCGCCGGAGTGCCGTGTGTCGACTGCCAGCCGTGGCCTGTCGGGTTGCACAGCCTACCGCAGCTTGCTCCGCACACGCCTTGCTGCCCTGCCCCCCACGGCACCCCCCGCCCCTGCCCTGCAGGCGTGGTGGGGCAGCGGCGCGGCCCCTGCTGGCTGGTGCTGGACAACGCGCAGCGGCTGGCGGGCAGCGAGCTGCTGGCGGGGGTGATGCGTGTGCGGGAGGACACGGGGGCGCAGGTGGGGGTGCTGCTGCTGGCCAGCGGCGGCCCCTGGGCCAGCGGGCGCTACCTGCGGGACACCGTCGCCGCGCCCGCGCCCAAGGAGCTCCACTTTGCGCCCTACGCACCCGCCGCCCTGCAACAGGCGCGCAGGGCTGGGGGGCTGGGAGGGGGGATGGCTGGGAGGGGGGTGGGGGCTGGCTGTTGCTGGGTGGGTGGATGCGGGACCTGGCGGCGCGTGCAGGGGGCAGGGGGCTTGATGTGGCGAGCAGGGCATGCAAATGGCCGGTGCAGGCTGCGACAGGGCACCGTCCCTGCAGCCGTGCTGTTTCGCCCGGCGATCCTGCCTGCTCCCCTGGTGCCGCGGCCCGCACACCCGCAGATCCTGGAGCGGCGGCAGCGCGCGGCGGGCGTGTGCGAGGGCGAGGCTCCCGCCTACCGCCAGTTCCTCACCGCCTTTGTGCCCACCTTCTGCCGCATCTCCAACAACCTGCTGGACCTGCAGGTGGGGGCGGGGGTGGGGCCGCGGGCATGCATGTGTGGGGGCAGGTGTGGAGGGAGCAGGACTGGCCCTGTGGGGGCACACTGCTGGCCGCCAGTGTACAGGCGCGCCGCAGCCCAGCCTTGCCCTGCCGTTGCCTTGCAGTGCCTGCCACGGGCCCCAGTCACGCCCCCCTCCCGTGCCTGCAGGCGGCTGCCGCCCAGCTGTTCCCGCTCTACGTGCAGCCGCTGCGGGAGGGGCGCCAGATGCAGTCGCGCCAGCTGCACGCCCGCATCAGCGGCGAGGTGCACCAGCGCCTGCAGGTTCTGGCGCTGCAGCAGCAGCATGCGGGCGCAGGCGCCGCCGCGGGCCTGCAGCCGGCGGCGGCAGCGGACGACGGCGGCGACGCGGCGGCCGCGGACCAGCGCACCGCCGCCGGGCGCAAGGCCTCCTGCTGCGGCCTGTCCTTTGAGCTGCCCTACGTCTCCAAGTTCCTGCTCCTGGCCGCGCACGTGGCCTCCCGCAACAAGCCCACCAGCGACCGAGCCGTGTTTGACCCCACGTACCGCAAGCGGGGCCGCAAGGACGCGCAGGCGCACGACCGCCAGGTGCGGCGGCGGCTGGCGCCTGCGCCTGCATGCCTTCAGTCCGCCCCGGCTGTCGGGGTGTGGTTGGCAGGCCGGGTGGGTGCGCCGGAGCGCTTGCCTCACCTCGCCCGCCTCAGCGGCCCCGCAGGTGGAGGCTGCCGTTGAGGCCAAGCTGCGGGGCCCTCACACCTTCCCCCTGGAGCGCCTGCTGCACATCTTCTACGTGCTGTACGCCCACCACGACGCCGAGGATGAGGAGGAGGGGGCGGAGGGGCGGCTGGAGGTCCCGCAGGTGTGCAGGTGGCGGGGCGCCGGCGGGGTGGCGCCGAAATGGCGCGCGCAGCCGAGGCTGTGCGTGCATGTGCGCGCTGCTCTGCTGCTGGCGCTGCTGCTCACGCCTGCTCCCACCCCTCCCCCGGCTGCCCCTCAGTCGCAGCGGGTGATGCAGCAGGCGGAGGTGCTGCAGCAGGTGTCCAGCCTGGTGGCGCTGCGCCTGCTGGAGCAGTGCGGCGGGGATGTGCTGGAGGGGCAGCTGTACCGGTGCAACCTGGGGGAGGCGGCCGCGGCGGCGCTGGGGGCCAACGTGCGCCTGCGCCTCACAGACTACCTGCGCCTGGGATGAGGGCGCCGTACCCCCCGAACACACACGCTCTGCCTGTAACCGCCTCTGTCACAAGCGTGGAGCATGCAAGAGGTCGGGATGGCTGGGCTGAAAGTTACAGGGGATGTGGGGTGAGACGCTCCACTCAGGTGGAAGGAGGGCGGACAGTCTTGCCCATCACAGGCCGTGCAGCTGCAGCTTGTTGCCGCAACGCTCTCTCCACACCGGCTTCACTCCTCGCCGGGCTCCAGCTGCCAGAGCGGGGCCCTGCCCACCTTGCCGCCGGTGAGATGAATGAGAGGGTGGCGCGCGAGGGCAGCACTGATCCTGTGCTGCCATCTGCACAAGGTTGAATGGATGGGGCGGGGTTGCAACCGACTCACAAGTTGTCAGCGGATGTCCAGAGCGGCAGATCCTACCTGGTCCTGCTCTTCTGGCCAGACTCCACCAAAAGGTCACCAGGCTGCAGCTGCAGCTGATCAAGCATGCTCCGTGTGTGCTGAACCACGGCGCATATCTGGCCCACGGTGGCCGTGCGGTTGGGCAGGCCGCGCAGCACAGTCTCCACCACTTCGTTGAAGAGGTCTGCTTCGTGAGCCGCTGGCTTTGCCCTTGGCCCAGAACCAAAGAGCATCACTGCACCACAGAACGTGTCGAGCGCCATGACGCATTGTCCGTCGCGCAGCGCTGTCGCGAAGCACGGCACTGGACCCCCGTACCTTGTGTGATTCTGAGCACCTCGTGGTAGTGGCATGAGCGCGCGGCGCCTTCAGTCACCCCAAAGTGCTGCCCAATGGCAGCCCAGTCCAGGTTAATGCTGCCCAGCACATCAAGCCGGTGCTCGGCAACCTCAGGTAAAGGTGGGGAAGAGCCTCCACAGGCTTAACTTCCCGGTTTTAACGTCTAGCTTTAGACCATTATTTGATCTGCCCGACGCGCCAAGTGCAGTACCCCCCACTAGTAGTGAATGGGTCCCGGGGAGGCCTGTGCCGAAGCCTTGGCGATTCTAATAGGCGTTCCCGAAGGAATTGGCTTGGATTGGCGCTGAGCCGGTCAGCTATGCCGCGTTTGTCCTCACAAAGTTTCGACATGGGAGGAATCGAACCTGTGCCCTCTCGGAGGGTTTAGACACTAGCTCCAGCGCCTTCAAAGAAGGCCTTTCTTAGCCGCGGCCGATCAGCAAGCAGTACCAGCTCCTCCACCTCCTCCTCAGTCCAGTGCTTGTAGCCTGCAGCAGGCAGGCCAGTCACAACACCAGCGAGCCGCCGCTTCCGACACCCTGCCTCTGGCACCAACGACTTGGACTGGCAGGGGGCAGCAGCAACGCACCTGATGCTGGGGCGGGTGCCTGCGGCTGCTGCATGGCCTCTCTGCGAACAGGCTCGGCGTGCTCCGCCGCTGCATCGCCCGCCACCTCCAGCTCCGCCTGCCGCTGCTGCAGCAGGTGCTGCTGCTGCCGCTCCTGCTTCTGCACGAGCCGCAGTCGCGCCGCCTCTGCAGCGGCAGCATGCATACGTGGATGGGTTTCGCTGTGAGGATGGCATGGCGAGCTGGGCAGGGCAGCCTGCTGAGGCGTTCTCCAGCCAGCATGTGCAGCACACAACAACGCAGCGGAGGAGCAAGGTGTGCAGATGAGCCGCCACCCACCCTGCTGCAGCCGCATCCACTGCGTCCTCACGCTTGGCAGCCTCCGCCGCAGGTAGACGGCCGCGAGCATGCAGAATTGTTTGCCATGAAGCTGCTGGGCGGCGGTGAAGGCCCTGCCCAGCTTGGTGTGCTGGTAGCGGCTATCCGTCATCAGGCGCAACAGCGTGGCACGGTCGCTACGCGACAGGCGGCCGCTCCTGCTTTGCTTGCGCGGCTGGCAGCCCTGCTGTACGGTCCTGGCTTGCCCCTTCTGCTGCCTCTTCTGCCGCTGCCGTTGCCGTGCACGCGCTAGCGGCGCCGCCGCCGCCGTGGTGTTCATCCGGGCCCCACCTGTGCCTGCAGAATGGATCAGCCTATGAGGCAGGGGAGAGGAGCCTGCTGCTCTCCTTGCGGCTCTGCCGAGGCTTCTAGCAGTTCACCCTGCTGACGCCCTCCTGCGGCCCTCCTGCGGGCTCCCCAGCACTCCCAGCCCGCCTCGCCTGGGCCCTCACTCACCTGGCTTGCCCTTGCGGCCCCGGGGTGGTCTCATTCCGCGAACTCACACGCGCGCGCTGGGCGAGCAGTCTAGGGATGCTGTCTAGGGAAGCAGAAGCGTGTGTATTGTGCAGTGAGCAGAGAGGAGAGGGGGAGAGCAGAGGGGAGAGCAGAGGAGAGAGCAGAGGGGAGTGGCAGTACGCCCGCTGATTGCATTGCATTTATAAATGGGCTGCTTGGATGGACTGTAAATTCAGATCCAAGGAATCAGACACCGAGGCAGGGATCCTTGACCACGGTGCACGGGTGTGCCAGGCAGGCCGGCGGCAGCGGCGGCAGCGCTGACCTGGCGGGCGGGCGGGCTTTCAATAAAGCAATGTGAAATGCCACCTCTATTGATCGTCACCTAGGCCGCTCCCAAGCCATGCCTGGCGGCCCAATTGAGGCCGCCGTGTTTTTGCCGTTTCTCCTTGCCCACCACCGCGCCGATCTCCTGGAAGTGCTGCGAGCGGCGGACCCTGAGCAGCACTATGGAGTGCGTATCAGCCTAGCGGAGCTGTCCGCCCACTCCCCTGGGGCGGCGGAGGTGCTGCTGGCGGCGCCGCGCCAGGTGCGTCGGGCGGCGGCTGCGCAGAGGCACGTCAGGGCTCTTGCCTGCATGCCTGGCTGGCATGCAGGCCACCGGCAGGTGGCCCGCCACCTGTGCTGCACCATTGCGTGGTCCTGGTGGCGCGCCCTGCAGCCGCCTGTGCGCCCTCGCCGCCGCCGCCCGCAGGTGCTGCCGCTGCTGGATGCCGCGCTGCGCCTGGCCCAGGAGGAGCTGCTGGGCGAGGCGGGGCCGGCAGCCGGGGCAGGGCTGGTGCCCAAGGACGCGGTACATGCGCGGCTGTGGGGCCTGGCCCTGCACCAGGACGGCCAGGCGGCGGCGCGGGAGGCCAGCCCCGGCCCGGGCGGCGTGGGCGCGCCGCACATCGACCGCCTGCTCACCGTGGCCGGCACCGTGTGCAAGGCGGGGCCCGTCAAGATGCTGGAGGCGCGCAGGCTGTACCAGTGCAGCCGGTGCAAGCACAGGCGCGGGCGGCGGGGGGCGGCGGGGGCGGGGGACAGAGGGCGGGGCAGGGCACTGCGACTGAGTCGCGCTTGTGAGGTGGGGGGCGGAGGCGGTGCAGGCTGGCCTGCGGCGGCTGCTCCAGCCGGGCTACGCCCTCCCTGGTCGCCACCCTG